CTCTCTCTGACTTTCTCTTTCACAATCTCTCGCTTACCCTTTCTCTCTCCTTCTCTTTCCCCTGATTTTCTCTAATTCTTTCACAATATCTCTCCAACCCTTTCGGTCTATCTCTCTCATTCTCTCACTTTCTCTTTTTAAAATCTCTATCCTACCCTTTCTTTCTCATCATATTTCTCTCTCTCTCTCTCTCTCTCTCTCTCTAATGACCGTTACTTTATAAATGTCCCATTTCCAATGTCAAAGTGTAAAAACGGTCACGATGATCAGACTAATCACCTTGGTGTCGAAACACCTGCACTAAGCAAAACTTGCAGTGGCTACTACTAGGGTCTGATTTTCTACGACGTCATCAAAACACACTACGTCACTGAAGGGATATTTTATATAAAATTATCAAACATCAAGTTCATCAAGGGTTAACAAGAAACAACACGAAGCCCCAAATAGGCGCGCACCGCATTAAAGGATTTACAGCAAACAATCAGTTTCTAAGTGGAACAATCATCGTCCCGGAAAGGCCACAGACACTTCAGCGTATAACAACAGTTGTACTTATTTCTAATTAAAACAAACCATTTTCATGACAACAATCCACTTGAGAGATTAAGAGTTTCAAACCTCTGAGATAAATTCTGAAATTTTACATATTTAAGTCTCTTGACATAGAACATAGATCAAATCTCTTGGTACAGAACGTGGTCAGAGATCAAGTCACTTGGTACAGAACACGATCAGAGATCAATTCACTTGGTACAGAACACGATCAGAGATCAATTCACTTGGTACAGAACACGATCAGAGATGAAGTCACGTGGTACAGAACGTTGTCAGAGATCAAGTCTCTTGGTTCAGAACACAATCAGAGAGCAAGTCACTTGTTACAGAACATGATCAGAGATCAAGTCACTTGGTACAGAACGTGATCAGAGATCAAGTCACTTGGTACAGAACACGATCAGAGATCAAGTCACTTGGTACAGAACATGATCAGAGATCAAGTCACTTGGTACAGAACACGATCAGAGATCAAGTCACTTGGTACAGAACACGATAAGAGATCAAGTTTCTTGGTACAGAACATGATCAGAGATCAAGTCACTTGGTACAGAACACGATCAGAGAACAAGTCACTCGGTACAGAACATGATCAGAGATCAAGTTTCTTGGTACAGAACATGATCAGAGAAAAAGTCGATCGTTTAGTGAAAAGCCTCCGCTACATATCGCCCTATTTACTTTGAATGTTTGGTTTCGAGAATCCAATACTGATCGATACCTAAGTTTGAACAGATTAAATCGATGAATGTTACTGGTGACCTTGATCTCAGCCGATCAGACGGGGCGTGTTCCTTTAAATGTTTGAACTATACTATCGACTGCGTGGCTAGAGACAGACAATGAAAGGAGACATACAATGACTGGGAGCAACGGCAGGGGAAAGATAATACATGGGGACAGAAAATGACATAAAAGACAACTAATGACAATGACAGGCGATAACGACAGGGGAAAGATAATGCATGGAGACAGACAATGACAGTAGTCAGATAGCAGCACGGGACACAGACCTTGACTGGGAACAGACAAATGATGGAAGATATAGCATTGCCGGTAACATAGCTCTATTAACATTCATTTCAATTTCAGGCTGTCGTAGTAACTACTACATCACTGTCCAGCATACAAATACACTTTACACAAATGGCAGCCTTGGTGGTCTTTGTTCTACCACTAGGCATTTTATGTCCCTACCATGACACACTGGTAGGTTTAGAGTTTTCTGCCTAGCACTGTATAAAGCAGACGTTGCGGGCTGAATGGTCTTCTACTTCTATGCCTGTGATACCCGGTACTTTGCCTGTTATTGTTTTGAGATGGCCTGCTGGGGGATACCGGTACTGCAGTTTTCAGATTCAGTAGATGGACCAGATTTTCTCGGAACTTGAGGTAGCTCTAGTGGAATTTGGGTTAACATTAAAATTTCTCATTAGCGGATATCCATCAATGATTGATGTCTGTATTATTATTAGATTCCAGAAGAGATTCTCCAGCATATATGTCTTGGTCGTCCCACAAGATAACAAGACCAGTGATGGTCTCCTAGGTCAACATGTACTAATTTTACGAGTCCACAATGAAGGGGGTTTCAACATCAATAATCTCGTTTTTTATTTTTATTTTCGCTGACCAATTATCTCTTGGTTAGAAGAATTAGTGGAGATATTATTTTGAATTGACGTTTATCTTTCCACTGGTAGGCAACAAGTAACCCCTTTTATTTCAGTTTTTTTTTTTTTCAATGGCCAGACTTGGCAGTTGGGTTGGCAGTAGGGTCTAATAGTGGCACAAAAGTAGGTGTCATGGGCAAGATATTTCGACTTTGGCGAAGAGGAAACTTTAATGTATATATATATGAGGAGTCCAATTGCAAACCCTGCTAAGTCACTTTAGATTGATTTTGAGAAAAACACATTTTTCTAAAACACAATGATGCGCTAATCCTAGGAGTCTGGTTTTTGTTCCAGTTGTAAGATTAGCTGTAAATGATATATTTTTTTAACATAAAATATAAAATGGGCATTTTTGCATTTATCATGCATTATAAAGTTATTACTCAGCAGGTTTTGAAAATGGTTTACATGCTTAGCCTTAGCAGCTTTTGAACGAGTTTAAAAACATACTTAGCAGCTTCTGAAAGAGGTTTAAAATACTTATGAGGATTTGAAAATGGTCTAAATCACTTAGGAAGTTTGACAGCCCACAACAAGACATAGAGGGGGGTGCTCTTTTACATTTTCTTTAAATTGTACTGCATGATTTTAATGAACCTTAGTCTTACATACCTTATCCAAACAATCACGTAACACTAGTAATAGACCACAACACATACAATTGCTATATCACAACATAAAGTAACAGACAATAACACATAAAATTACTAAATAAAAACACAAAGTAACAGACCATAACACATACAATTACTATATCACAACAATAGTCTTCAATTCATAAGTAAGTCCTGGGGGGAAAAAACAACACGGGTTGACAATTTTATTGGGTTACACTGGCGTAACAATAACAATGCATTTAAGGTGGGTACGCCATCTTGCATAAAGTAATAAACTTTTAAAATATAAACATTATCAGCAGAGGGATCCTTTAAATCTGGAGTTCTTTTCTTTTTGTCAGTTTTAATGGGGACATGTTAGCGTTTTCGCCGATTGTACTAAGACTAGTGTCGTGTTCAGCCATCTTGAATAGTGTCGAAAGAAAGTCATGTGCCGGCAAGCTAAATTTGATTGGCTCTTTTTCACAAATGTTGTTTAAAACAACTACTGCCATTGGCTGGTAACTTAGTAGGGTTTGAAAGTGAATGCTAATGCAACTTAGCAGGTTTTGCAAGTCTATCGTATTTTTGGCTGCATCTATAGGTACCCGGCTACCTATAATCGCCAATGACTATTCGCACCCGGAGTGGCTCCGTACAGATTAAATAGCTTCGGAGCCGGGTGTAATAACAATAATAGTATGAGAATTATTTTTTTTTAAATTGTTTTTTCTCCTTGTTATTTCATAGATTCATAGTTGGTGATGTGTAACGTGTCCTCATAATGAGCAGACCTGGGAAACATTTCGAGCGGACCAGTGGTTATGTTGCGATATGTTAACTAGAAAGTTGTGCCACCCACTACCACTGAGTTTAAAAAAAACAACAACTCTTCAGCTCGCCGAAAATGCTGCCCTCAGCCTCAATATATTTTTTAAAAAAAGTGGCACCTGTGTCGACCACCCCCTCCACAGCCCCCTTCCTATGCAAGTGGATTGACTTTTTCTTGACAATTGTGAGTCATAGTAGGCAAATAAGCTATTTAAATGGTCTATGGTTGGTCAGCTCTAGTTTGATAGATGGCACTTAATTATTCAGTAGATGCCACCTAAGTTGACTCTGGTTTGTGGTGAGTAAAATGAGAGGCAGTGTTAGGGATTTTATGTATCTTGATGGAACCAAGTTGCTTTGTTAGTCATCTGTTTGCAATGGTGTTTATTTCGCTTCTGACATATATTTCATTACTTTCCCGCTTTTTGCCTCTTAGTCTTAGTAAATCACCAGCTATTTATTGAGAAAGAAATCGAAACTGTCACAAATAATCAAATTTTAAGAAAGGAAATTGACAATTTTNAATTAAACCTGGAGTGATGGAGGCTCACCTCTTTATTCTTTGTGCCTCGGAAATGACAACCGAAAGGAACATACTATATCACTTATCTTATAATGTATTGTAATGTTAGTTGGACACAAAACACTATATATTTCCATACAATTATATGTATGTCAGATGAGAATTAATTCAAATATTTCACAATTTTCTTTTTTTATTTTTTTTTTTGTTGCCTAGTTTATTTGCCGTATCCGTATGCTATGATCTAACCAAAAGATAAGCTAATGCAAAATAAAACGATAAATTATAAATAAACTTTTTGATGGAGGTGCAGATTAATGTGCTTTGGACAAGTGCAAGGGTTCCCTTCACCTGTGGTACCCGTGTCTTTGGACCACTTTGGAGTAAGTAAGCAAAATTTATAGTGATAGCAGAAGGGTGAGTGAAAAAAATGGCAATTAAAAATGCTAATATATTGTCGAAAGAGCTGTGGCTATTCGGACCCGGGATTCAGAAATGAGAGGTTAGGTCTCGTCAGACTAAATGAAAATGCTATTCGGATGTCTTCTGCGGTAGTTTGTTTGTTTGGTTTCTTTTGGGTTTTTTTGTTGTTTTTTTTTTTATTTTAACTGAAGAAATAAGTTTACAGTCCATTCAATTATCGTTCATTTGATACCAAATTTTGTCTTACAAACCCAACAATAATATTTGAAATGTTTTTGGTTTTTTTAAATTAAACCCAACCTCTCACTCTTTTCCGGGTCCGCATAGCCACTTCGATATCGATTAGCTTCCCATCGCCAACTGTCAGTAAACTTTCTGCAATTCTTGGTATTTAGACTGATCGAATCTTCAGAAATGGCGACAACTCCTTTCGCGAATCCAACGCAGCTGCTACCTCTTGGTAAAATATATAATATTTTAGTCCCTCTATCCATAGTTTTTCCTATTCTTGTTCACGAATGAAGAGATGTTAATTCAGTCCCTATATCACTGGTCACCAATGCATTGTAAAGTTATTATTTATAATTTATATTAATTAATTTAGGTGACCATCGTCCATTCTTCTCACAATTTCTCAATTAGGCCTACTGAAGGTATTTTGATAACAAAATTAAAACTTAATTTAAAAAAATAAACCAATGGCATAGTTGAATAGAGCAAATTTTTAAAAGATTGATAGCAACAAAAATCTATTTTTAGCTGTTGTAGTTTTAAAGTATTTAAAGTTATGAATTTTTAAAGTACCACTTAATTTGTCCTTTTTTAAACATTAAACATGGACCGCATCTCCATTTTGTGGGACCCAATTCCGCTGTTGGCGTCACAAGCTGTATAACTCTTGTTTTACCGGTAATGATAATTTTATTTTCAGAACTAATGCTGTATTAAAAAAATAAGTTTAATAATGTTAACAATTATAGATAAATTGTAGCTTATCTAACTTTGCACCATTTATATCAGTAAATTTAAAATAACGAAGTGATTATTCACACAGCTGTGCAGATAACGCTCGCCGTTATTCACAGATTTTGGTCTGCCGATAACGCTCGACATTATTCGCAGAATGTGATAAATTATATTATGAATATAAAATACAAAGTTCGTATGTAAACATCTCCTCGGTAGTGTAGTGGTCAGTATCTCCGCCCGTCACCCGGCAGACATAGGTTCGATTCCCCGTCGGGGAAGCCTCATTTTTATAAATAAAATTGTAAAAAATAATATTTAATGGTTATTTCGTAGTGTTATATTATAATAATATTCTTCATATGGCTTTCTTATTCTGTTCACATAGTTTTATTATTATTTTCATATAGTATAGTTTTGTTACTTATGTTACAAGTTTCAATCTATTTTGTTAGAATGTTCATTCAAGTTTCGTCAAAAAACTGTAAACAACATGGACATGCAGATGAGCCGCATAAACTAAACCATGTTTAAGTCAGATACAGCTGTTCTAACTGTACATTGTGAAAAAGTCTCACTTCTTCTGCCTTTAAATCCAAGTCAGAAAACCACTGCTGACACTGCAGCTGGGGGTCTTTGATGATCTCGCATGCAAATGACGTGGGGGGACTCCGCTGTTGCTTCAGCCATGAAGATCGTCCACTGCTGAAAGTGCATCAAGTTGTTAACATGTACTTGTTCCAAAATAAAAAGATTAATTTGGATCTGAAGGCTTTTAGGTGGGTGTATAGATAGGAAAACTAGATTTTCCTCTCCTTGTAGTTTTAGGTTCAGAAAATTTAAATGACTAGTTATGTCTGCCATTTTCCATACCCACTCTTCATCAGACAGTAATGCCTGTTGCTTGCCTTTACCTTCCAGGAAGTCACCTATTTCCTTTCTTAACTTAAATACTCTGCTCAGAACTTTCTCACAACTTAGCCATCTTTTTGCTGTGTAAAAATGGTACATTTTGCGATTCTGTGTCTGTATCTTTCAACAGATTTCTGAACTGTCTATGGTTGAGCCCATGTTACCTTATTAAATTAACCCTATTCACCACAGGTTTCAGTACACTGCTAATGTCCACATATTTAGCACACAACGTTTCTGGTGAATAATACAGTGCAGGAACATTGGTTGCAGAATTTTTTTCTCATTAAAAATCTTCTTCACTTGTCCAACCAAGCCTTGCTTTATGCCACTCATGTTATTTCCTCCGTCAACAGTCAGGCAACTGAGGTTAGTCCAGTCCAAGTTAAAATCAGCAAATATTTTTTTCAACTCATCGGTAACAGTTCCGTACATGCTATTTGGGAAGCCAGTTCTTGTGTTATGTTCATGTCTTCATCCACACCCCACTAACGAACACAAGCAGTTGAGAGGTGGAACAGCTGTCCAGCGATTCATCCATTTCAATTAAAAATTGGGGAAACTTGCTTGCATTTTTCACTATTTGAGTCACAATGTTTTCGCCCATTTCTGCAACACGGCAGGCAAATATCCGTGCCACTAGATGGCGTTATATATTCTAATTTCATTGACTGTATACGGAAGTAGAAAAACTAAACAGCGAATAAGGTTTTGCAAAGTAATTATCGGTTAGAAAACATAACGCAGTACTGCACGCCTCTATTTTAATTCGGTAAAAACGTAACGTCCACGTAAGCGACGTCTGATCTTGGCAGGATACACGTACATTTCCGTAATTTTTTTCTGTAGACAAAGGACTCCGCAGGCCGCATTAGAGGGCCTCGCGGGCCGCGCCGTAGTTTGGAGACAACTGGACTAGACTATTAAAAAGCAATTTAATTTAATAATTAATTCTAAACTAAACTAAACAACAACATATTATGATGGGCTTATTAAAATTCTCCTGTAGGAATAGTCAAAGAGAATAATTGAATAAATATTATTATTATTGCTTTCTACGACTACTAATTTGAACTAAATTATTTAGTACTATTTAATATTTTGAACTAAATTATTTAGTACTATTTAATATTTTGAACTAAATTATTTAGTACTATTTAATATTTTGAACTAAATTATTTAGTACTATTTAATATTTTGAACTAAATTATTTAGTACTATTTAATATTTTGAACTAAATTATTTAGTACTATTTAATATTTTGAACTAAATTATTTAGTAAATGGGAGCAACCCTTGGTCCCTACATAAACTTTTTAAGTTATGTTATAATCTTTTCTTAAATTTTTTTAATATACTTATTTTAATCTTCTTTTATTTAATCAGATGTTTTAAGGATTTAATAATAACGAACACTTCATAATTGACAGTGATAATAGCCATTTCCGGGTCCTGGATCAAAACACAACAAAATTAATTTGGGGGACATTTTCGTACCCCCTCTACTTTGGGAGATGCATAACTTTTGTGGGGCAAAGTCTATTATGTAACTCTAATAATGAAAAAACTCTCAAAATGAATGTAGTATGCACTGAACTACACCTTATTTGCCTAAAATAACTAATTAAAAAAATATGTGATTATATGCTTACTCGGTGATAATGATAATCCTGATCGTGACACATAAAAAACCTCGTCGCACAGATTTCATAGAAATGACCGGAAGACAAAAACTGACACGTCACCGATGATGACAGCAATTATTAAAGGTCAAATGACGTAAAACACAATTTTCCGAAGATACTGTGTAGCCGTAAGCCAAAATTGTGGAATAAGTATTTTCGACATTTTAAGACATGCGCAGAACGATGCGTTGACTAGTTTCAAAATGCCTATATAATGTATTAATATATGGCTTTTCTGTTTACCAAATCTTTTCAGAAAAGCATTGTGCAGCTAATATTCTACTAATACCAGTCTTTGTTTAGTTTAAAATATTTTATAAGAGGTATACGGCAGTTTGTTCAATTTTTAAATGGTGTAATTTTGTAATGTACACATTTTTTTGCATTTCTATTTCTTTATTTCAGAGCTGGTTGATAAATGTATCGGCTCCAGAATTCACATCATAATGAAAAATGATAAAGAGATTGTCGGTATTTTATTAGGTTTTGATGATTTTGTCAGTATCCTTTTGACGGCAGACATACTTGGCAAATTTTTATTACATTATTCAGTTTTTTGTTGTTGTTATTTTTGGCATAAAAATTTACTGTCAGTTAATGCTATTAATTAAAACTCATTGATACCTTTCTTCCGAGCTTTGATTTTCATATACGCTAAATGGCTTTAGCCGAGGGCCTCCAAAATTTAAGACTAACTAAGGCCCCTCAAAATTTAAGTTTAAGAAACCTCATTTTATAAATTTTTTAAATTATTAAAATTTTGCAATCTCATTCAAAAGTGCTATTACTGATTTCCCTAGTCACATATAGGCCATGTTAATGCAGCCACATTTTGACTAAAGCACTGTGAGATAAAGAATACCAAGAAATAAGAACAGAGCTCTTGATCAACTCTCTCAAAGCAAAAGCAAAAATACAAGATGAAATCCTTTATTCATTTATTAGATACGCTGGAATCTAATGTACAAAGAAGACCTACTGGGTACAGTGACAGTGCAAAAATGTTTGGGTTTTGTTTCTAACTCATCTGACAGCAAGAAATTCAGGATGTGAAATGTCTAACGAAACCATAAAATTATGTTCAGAGGGCAAATGATGTTTTATTTTAATGATGGTGGTGTGTAATTTTAAGTAAGTGATTTTCCTTAAAACATTAAGATATGGTCTTGGAAGATGTTACAGAATTGTAAGTAAAAAATATTTGTTGTCTTAATTTATGTATCCCAAGTGATACTTTTACCCGTACTTTGAACAGATTTTATACATTTTCTGATTTGTACAGCTTTTTACAGACTTTCACAGGATTTAGAAAAACACTTTTGAAATAAAGGGGATGGCCATCTGAACATTTTTTTGCTCCTTACAAGAAATTAAATGTTGGTAATTATTTCTCCATTCAATTTAACAGTGAGCTTTGGGATCAGTAGTGTAGGCTTTTCTTTGAAGTAAATTTTAAATATAGGATCTGGTTGTGGGGCATCAGTGCCCTGTATTTACTTACTGGTACAGGTAGATAGTCAGAGTCATACCAGTAGTAGTGGCTTTGAGAACAAAATTTGATATCTGTTTATATAGTTTTAAGAAAAAACTACATTGTCCATTGATTGTAATAGTAGCATATTTTATTTTAAATATAAGCATATCCCTAACAATGGCATTACTCATTGGGTCATTATAACTTGATTTAATTTAATGACATTAAATAATATCATTTAATTGCTTTTATCACTTTCTACAACTTTATCTTCTTTTTTGTAAACATTATTTTGAAACGAAATAAGTGAGAATTGCATAATACAGTAATCGGCTTTTTATCATTTTTTATTTCCTGCTTAATCTATCAACTTAATGGCAGAGCTTATTTAAAAATAAATACATTTGGCATTAAACATGCACCGTGGAGAGTGAATAGATTGTACAAAACTAAAGAATTAGTTAGGCTTTATCCATTAGAGCATAGAGTGAGTTTCACAAAATTCATCAAAGAGTCAGTAAATATATACAATAAGCCATTTTGATTTTATATTATCTATGATTTTCCTTCCTTTAAATCAGGGGTAACACCGGCTTAATTAAACTAATGTATTTTGGTCTAAGGGCTAAAACAAAATGTCCTTCGACCCCTGATCTAGCGGTTTTGCATGTTTACATGAATTATTTAGAGCTTGAGACAGTGGGCCTGTGTGTCCCATAAGTGGACTCATGAAGGCAGTGGGCCTGTGTGTCCCATAAGTGGACTCATGAAGGCAGTGCGCCTGTGTGTCCCATAAGTGGACTCATGAAGGCAGTGGGCTTGTGTGTCCCATAAGTGGACTCATGAAGGCAGTGGGCCTGTGTATCCCATAAGTGGACTCATGAAGGCATTGTGCCTGTGTGTCCCATAAGTGGACTCATGAAGGCAGTGGGCCTGTGTGTCCCATAAGTGGACTCACGAAGGTAGTGAGCCTGTGTGTCCCATAAGGGGACTCATGAAGGCAGTGGGCCTGTGTGTCCCATAGGTGGACTCATAAAGGCAGTGAGCCTGTGTGTCTGATAAGTGGATTCATGAAGGCAGTGGGCCTCTGTTTCCCATACGTGGACTCCTCTATTTCTACTTTGTTAACAATATAAAGTCAGTAGTTTTGAGGCTCTTGGGCTATTAACAGAACATTTTTCATATCTTATTTTGATTCCATTTAAATTAACCATCTTGATTGATATTTCTTGAAATGTTTGGAAATATTATTACTTATGAATTTAATTACTTTACATCTGAGACAAGGTAAGATACCATTACCCATTTGCTTGATTTTTTAATTTTTATTTTAGTGAAAGTACACCAGAAGGGAGAAGGGTAACCAAATTGGATAAACTGTTACTGAATGGAAACAACATTACAATGGTAAATTGAATTTTTGTATTATTTTTCTTTTAGGTGCAATCCATAAAAGATATCCGCAATCTCTTTTGGAGATTTCCTTTATGAACAACTCCTTAATAGAATTTGTTATTGTTTTTTGCTTTGAAACCTTGGCTCCTGGTCCTAAAATACCCATGCCCCTGGGCTCCTGGTCCTAAAAACCCATGCCCCTTGTCCTAAAATACCCATGCCTCTGGGCTCCTGGTCCTAAAATACCCATGCCCCTAGTCCTAAAATACCCATGCCCCTGGGCTCCTGGTCATTAAAACCCATGCTCCTGGGGGAAAATTCTACAAACTGACACACGAGCAAACAAAATCAAATAATTATAAAATTATTTTATTTATTTCAATCTAAATTTGTCTTTAGTTGTCCATAAGTATTATAACAAATTTCACAAGGAGAAAAATTGTGTTAGAAATGGTGTGAAATAGCTTAAGAATAGTTCATTTATATGACCCTGATTTTTCATAAAAGCCTTGGCTTGAACTAGGGGTAGATCTTGTGTTGTTTATTTGATTCCCAAAGCACACATCGATGGCACTATTTGTTTTATTCGATCTTTTTTTTCAAAAATAATCCTTTGAATTATTAGCATAAAACTGCTCTAGTCTCTTCTTGAGAATAGCAATTTTTGTATTTTGGTCACCTCTATACATTGAGAAAGCATAACAAAAACAATACATTCATGAGCGCTACCATTACTGGTACCTTTCACAAGTCACGGGATAAATCCTGAACTAAGTATTTACAATACATTTTATGGTAAGGTATGGTAGACAAAAATATTGGTCTGGCGGGGTGTGGATTTTTAAAGCGCAGACAGATAAAGCAGGGTCAAAGGGTTAAACACTTTCGGTTCACATAGTATCTTGGAACAAAGTATTATGAAAAAAAATTTTTAAACCGGTATAAAAATAAGTGATATGACAGTGTGTAAAATATCATAACAGAAATTTGTTAAAATTATAATTTATGAAGCAGGGATTGCAGTCAGATTAAAGAAAACACTTTTTATCAAATTAAATCATCCATGAAATTCTTTTTTTTTTATGCCTACTACAAAAATTATTTTACGTATAAAAGGGAACATAAAATGTGATAATTACTGTTATCAGCGTTCAAGTGGAAAAGCATCACCATCCTACCCTTATCACACATCATAACCTGGGTGTCCTAACATCCTAACAGTTATGGGGCCCCTAACTAAAGTAATGCATTAGACCCCCTCCGTCCTCTCTAACTTATGAAAGTTAAGTACCTGGTAATTAAATAAAAATATACATACCGGTACTTAATAGAATCAAGCCTATTTTTATTTGTACTTTCAATACAATCGACTTTCAATGACTTACAAAATCAAAGAAAGTAACGATAATTCAACAATCATTTCAATCTGAATATAGATGTATGAAAACATGTTCATAAGCAGAATCCAAATAGTACAATTATTTAAATAGTGAAATATTTTATGAGTAATAATTATCTAAACTAAAAGAAAAAATTATTACTGTACTATAATTATTATTCATTTTTAGATATTTTACAAAGCCTCCCTAATTTTTCTTAACAGAAAATGATTTTTTTTCTTTAACTTTTAACACAAATACAGACACAAGAGATATACAAATGTTTTACAACATTATTTATTTTTTAAATTAAAATTTTCACACAGCATACACACTGAAATTGTACATTAGAAAAGGGTGTCAGTGAGCTCTTTATGTCCTCTCCAAAGCACACACCCCCACCCCCAAGCCCAAATATCAGGCCGCGAAGCAGCACGTTGGAGATCTCCCCTCGCCAGAACCGCCTCCGCCAGCATTCACTCTTTCAGGTGCCAATGGTGGCCACCTAGCCCAAGAATATCTGGTCGGCTCGTGATGCTGCTCTCACAGCGTCAGCAGTCGACTTTCCCAGGAGTCGGGATAGTATATTTACGTCCTAAAATCTTCGCCCTCCCATCCCGAGGAAGCATCAGACTCTCTAATTTCTTCAGTGGGTTTCTACCTCAAAACTAATTTTATGAAGCAAATGGGATGAAACGGCGGTAGTCAAAGAACAGCTCCCTCAATTGGCTGTGGAAATAGAAGTATGCACACTAAATTTATTCAATATACTACTTTTTTATAAAAAAAAATACAAGTTACAAGCTAGGACAATGGATATATAAGTAAGTGGTTTATATAAAGCCTTTTGAATATTCTATGGTCAAAGTCATTGCCAATTAATATTACCTCAAATCGCTTGTCTTCAATACACAGGAATCATTATCTTTGTAGGCCAAGAAAATCCTGTTGCAACCCCGCTGTCCCACAATACAAAAAATATTATTTTTTTAAAAAATTAAGCCTTGAAATTCAGGCTTTCTCCAGTGCAGTGCATACACAGGGAATGCTTCAGCGCAACCTTACTTAGTATATGAACATAGGTTTATCATATTATTATTCAAGACAAAAACTGACACCGTACATCCGCCAACAGGCACAGATTTCCATTTCCCTAGGTGGGACCATGGGTTTTAGATGGGATCATGCTTTAAGATGGCACAGAACAAAACCATCTAAAACATGAAGAAATCCTAGTTACTGTATCTGTTTGAACTTATTGTTAACTTATGTTACCCTTTTATTCCAGTTGGTGCCTGGAGGAGAAGGTCCAGAGGTCAACTGACACTAACTGACACATTTTTAAATCTTTTTTTTTTATACTGCTTTGTATGTGTGTTGTATGTTTGTTGTGCCTGATCCCGACTGGATATGTTAGAGATGATTTTTTTTAAAAATAAATCATAATGACTTATCAATATGCTTATGGATGGTTCTTGTAAAAGTTATCTCAGAGTATGTTTTAACCGTGCTTGACAGAGAGAGTGAATGTTTGAACCAATAAAGTGTGGTTAGTCTGCTTTTGATCTGAGAGAGAAATCTATCATCATGTGTGTTTCATATTGTGACTCGGCCCATATAAAGATAAATAAAACACAATCATCAAGTACATTCCTCAGCTTTATTTTATTATCCATTGAGTTTGACTTGATTGTTATGTTGTTGTTGGTTTTTATTTTTTTAAATTTTTTTGTTGTTGAATTGGGGGTGGGCACATATTTAAAATGCATACATAAATGTATTATGTTCTTAAGCCCTTAGCTGACATTTTCATAGACAGGATGAGACCATCCACATGTATTGACTTCCTCACTGAAAGGGTTATGTGAAGAAAGTACAGTACATTTATGCACAAATTCTGTAACAATTATCCTGACATTTTCATGCTCTCAAAATCTGTGAAATTCTATGATTTATCTTCAAAAAGGCTATACTACATAATAATAAGACTATCATGACGATGTTTTGTACCGGTAATTAGTTTAGTAGTAGAAATAGCAAATGCTTCAAAGTGCCTCAGTGCAACACAGTGCAGTATCAACAATCTTTCTTTCCATGAACAATAATGGCATGGAACAACCTGAACGATGCAACTGTGAACTTGACATCAGTCGAAAGCTTAAAGGCTGCCCTGGCATCAGCTAGGAGCTATTAGAATAGCAACATCATACCCCCAACCGTTGCAAAAATGCCAGTACATGGATGCAGCAACGAAACAGAACCAGAATGCGTTTGGGAAAGGAAGGATACAGCTTCAGTTCCATTCCTCAGTACTCCTTCTCCGTCCATGTTTATCTTTGTTCAAGTTATTTAACTCAAAATAAGATTAGGAATTTTTTCCCGATGTGCAAAATATGACATTTTGGTCAGCTTACTTAAAGTTTAACCAACCAACATGGTGGTACAGCACTGGGGGGGGGGGGGGAGAGAGAAGGTCGATAATTTAGGAGATTTTGTGTATAGCATGGTGGAAAAAAAATTGGGGGAGGGGAGAATATTTACCAACAATTATGCACAAATTATGATACAGTTATTCTAAAAGTCTGACCCGTATCTTCCAGTCAATTCAACCGTCACCTACAAATCCTTGGAAATCCACGATTCGGATCTTTGGCTTCCACAGGGAACCCGCCGTTTTAACTCGGTTTATGCCCATGACTTTATTTAATGGCCCCGTACGTCAGAATTGAAACAGGAGTTGGGAAGAGAGGGGGGGAGGTCAAAATTCTAATTTGCACGTACACAGGGGATGTACAAAATGTACGGTGAACAGTGTAACAAAAGAAGGGGGAATTCTAATTTGCACATACACAAGGGATGTACAAAATGTACGGGTGTAACAAAAGAAGGTGGGGGGAGTGAAATTCTAATTAGCACATACACAAGGGATGTACAAAATGTTTTTTTTTGCTGGCATCCGTCCGTCACAATGTGACGATGGAGTGGGCTTTGTAGGACGAAATCCACATAGCCTGGGATTATTATACTTGAAGGATTATAAGCTGGTTCCCAACAGCAAATCGCCTCTCTCCACGCCGCTGGGTAACCCAAGGGAACATCATTGGATGATACAGCTTGGCACCAGTGACGTCGCAGGAGTTGTCGGAATGTTTCATTGTATCAATGTTATCCGCCTTTCGGGACTCCATCTCCGGGTTTGATTTCAGAGTTTCCTTCTCTTAGATGAGTTGCCGTCCAAGGTTAACGAGTCCCATCTACCCGTGGTGCTGGTGGTGTTTTTGCTCTAGCTGGAATTGAACTCCAGACCACCAACTTGAGATTTGCTCAGTTTAGACCACTCGGCCACCCAGCACAAAATGTACGGTGTAACAAAAGAAGGGGGGTCGAAATTCTAATTTGCACATACACAATGGATGTACAAAATGTAAGGTGTAACAAAAGAAGGGGGGGGGGGGGGAATTTCTAATTTGCACATACACAAGGGATGTACAAAATGTACGGTGTAACAGTGTAACAAAAGTAAATGCACCAATCAGTCCATTTTTTATTCTTGTTAAGTTACAAGCTTTTGTTTTTATTGGTATTTTCCAGCTTTGATGTTTAATTGAAAATGACAGGTTAAATGCCTTTAAAAATATTTTCTAAGCTATTGCATGCTCAGCTGTACCTGAAAACAAATCATCATGAAATGTAAATGCGGTGTATATAATATATATATAAGGCATTGCCATAATAAAAAAATTTTTTTTAATGAAGTCTATAAAACTATAATTTATTTAACAGCTGATGCACAGATATTGAAAATGTAGATTTATGTCTTGTGATTGAATGTACCGGTATATTGACAAATGTTTGCTATGGTGGTGTGGAATCGATAAAGTTAGATGAAAGTCTGAGCGCACAAGACTCTTTTGTTAGATTCTTGAATTTATTAAATTAGGTATTCTAAATGAAAATTTCATGATGTAAAATTAAACTATTCCCTTAAACTCACTGAATGGCTGTTTTAAATAATTTATTATAAATCTCTTGTGATCAAATTAGTTTATTTTTTAGCTGAAAATGTATAATGCTATCAAAAAACATTTCCATTTATTTGGATCAATAAAAGAATATTATCTGATCTTAAATAGAGCTTGGCTCAATCAGAACAGGCCCACAAATTTTAACTCTTTCTCCAATGTTAAGAAAGTTATGTGTAAAAAGAACAGGGACAGGGTTAATTTTTAGACGACAGTAACATGTAGTTTTGACACTCATAATCTTCTAAAATTTTGATGGCATCATATCATCAACTTGCTGTCTTGAGGGCCAGTGGAACAGTGGTGATAAATTAATATACAAAAAGTGTATCCAACTGGTAAAAATAGTGCTACATGAGGACACACTAATACAGAACCTATCAGCTTGGTCTTCTAACTAAAGTCCCAATCTGATTCTCATCAGCACTAGAAAAAACTCATCAATGAATCTTAGCCTTTTCCGCTGGCCTACTTGATCCTTTAAAATATCCTCATGTTGGGACAGCTCATCAAAAACCACAGTGAAACATTTTGCAGAAGGAAATCCTGTATAAAAACGTACTTTCTCATCACAGTTTTGGATGTCTTCAAAAGTAAATGCTGGCAAAGTTGTTTCAGTTGAAACACTCTCATTTTCATTTGCAGTTTGTGTGGCAACATCTTTACTAAACTGGATATCCGTGTTGACTGCAGTGTTGATTTTGTGCCTGAAAATAATGTCTGTCTGCACACTTTTGTCACCACCTGCTGATTCCTCCTGTAATTCTGGTACCTTGCAGTAATCATGCATCCATGTGAAAGTGCTTTCATGTTCCTGCAATAGTAACATACCAATATCTATTAACTCAAATCAAGATTTATTGTAATTGTTCTCCTATGATCATGTATTTAACTGTGTAACTTTTTTTTTTTTAAATCCAAAAATCAAATACATAGGAAACTTTTTAAAAGAAAAATAAAACTTTTAAGAAAATAACCATTTAATCTATTTTCAATTGATTATATTTCTATTGAGCATGGTTATGAAATAGTATGTATCATAGGACAACCATTGGGAGTAAAGGGTCACCAAGCTTTAACAAACCAACCAAACCGTAATAAAGCTTAAAACTACCCGGTATATACATATACTAACAACAACAACAAAAACTGCAATAAAGCTTTTAAGAGGCTTAGGATTACACAAAATGTAAATTCAAATCACACGCCTTCATCAGTACAACAACAAAAATACCCATAAATTCAATTATACAGAAGGAATATATATATAATATCCAACCCATACCTAAAAATGATAGAAAAGATTGATCTATAAACAAATAAGAATGTGAAATAATAAAATAAAATCTGACCATTTTATTGGTGGAGTCTGTTTCATTTGTCACTGGAACTTGAGGTTGTTGGTCATATAGAACATTGAACAGCTGCTGTGTCTGATCTTTTAATATCTGGGGGTGTGAGGTTATAGAAATAAGAAATCATTAGCGCTCTAGTTAGTGGACCTACCATAATAACAGCAAACGAAAAGATCATGTATACACATTTGCTATTTTTTAAAGCTGTTTTTGTGTGTGTTGTATTTCGCTTCATGTTCAATTATTTGTAAAATAAAAAATGCTATACAGATTTACATTTTATTTGCCTGTTTTATTTCCAAGTATATATAACTAGTTCTCAAGTTCTAATTTATATACTCTGTAGGCCTAATTTACAAAGTAATTGTTCCAACCACTAACTTTAAAAAATTAATTAAAATATCATTTGATTTTGATTACATTACAATCGAGAAGCTTACACTTAAACTTAAATTATTTTTCAAACCACACAGGACTTGACTTTATGCCAGAGCCAAATGAAAAGTCTTGTTAAGCTGTCATTAAATCAGTTATAAATAATGATAGTGCTAGTACTGCAAGTCCAAGTATAATTATAATACTCTAATAATTAGTAATTAAAATTAGTCTACCAAATGTAATCCTTGTTTTAATATTAAAGATGTAGGCTTAGTAGGCCTAGTCCTAAGCCTAAGCTAAATGTAAATTCAAAATTATAAATATAGGGCGCCTATATTTAGGCCCATATAATGACACTTATTGGTAGCATAATCATATTATGAGCATTCATATGATTCATGATCTATCAGTAAGCGTAGGCCTAATCAAGCCTAACCATGCCATATGATATAATTGGTAATAATCTTTCTCTCAGTAGGTCAGTAGGCTTTGCTTAAGTTAGGTACTTTGACACACAATTTAAATATGGTCCGATTGTCATGAATCATACATCATTTTAAAGGGATAGCTATAAGCTTTACAACAACACCAATTTTATCTTTCTATCTTTTATAGAAGTGGAGTTATGATTTTTTTGGTGATTTTTTAAAACCCCCTTCTTTATCTTAGTATTTAACTGAAAAAAACGTGTGACCCACTTTCCAAATTTCTGCCTTATTTTGCCAAAAACTTTTAGATTTTAAAATATAATGCTACCAAGTTTTCAAGAGACATTCTCAATGCAATATACAACACAATAAACAACAAAACTTTTATATAACATCAAGACTTTTATTTTTTAATATATTTATTTGTGGGTATGTTCAGAAAAAATGGGAAAATCATTATTTATACAGGAAAAAATGAAAAAATAACATGTTTATTGAATTTTAACTAATTTTATTATGCTTGTGTTCAATTTTAAATCAATTATTATATTTATAAAAAGGTAAGTAGTCTTTTTTATATATAAAATTGAACTCATGTAATTATAAATTTTAAAAAATTATCCATAATGATGAGACTTATTTATTAAAAAATATTATTTGATATATTAAATAA